CAGACACACACACACTCACTCACACACATACACACACCCACACACACACACACACATACACACACCCACACACACACTCACACACAGACACTCACTCACACACATACACACTCATACATACACACACTCGCACACACATGCACACACACACAAACTCTCACACACACATGCACAGACATACACACACACGTGCGCACATACACACACGCGCGCACACACACACTCTCTCTCACACACACACACACGCACACGCACACACAAATGTACACAGGGGTTACACAAATTCACATGATAAAAGGATTTCAGCTTCAGAAGTAATGACAAATAGGATTCAGGCCACATGATGTGGAAAAAGAGAGTTTCATTGAAGATATAAGATTAAAGCGATCATAAGTGGAAGAAATCACAGTTCGATAAATTCCAGCATAACTGGTCTGGGTCCAGGTACAGTCTGCTGGGATTGGTCTATCCCAGGTACAGTCTGCTGGGATTAGTCTATCCCAGGTAGAGTCTGCTGGGATTGGTCTATCCCAGGTACAGTCTGCTGGGATTGGTCTATCCTAGGTACGTCTGTTGGGTTTGGCCTGGCCCAGGTACAGTAGGCTGGGATTGGTCTATCCCAGGTACAGTCTGCTGGGATTGGTCTATCCCAGGTACAGTCTGCTGGGATTGGTCTATCCCAGGTATAGTCTGTTGGGACTGGTCTGGCCTGGTACAGTTTTGTGGCATTTGTTCCAACTGGTGTTGTGAGTTTGACAAAAATGCTTTTTCTGATGAAGGGTCCCGAACCGAAACGTCAGCTTTCCTGCTCCTCTGATGCTGCTTGGCCTGCTGTGTTCATCCAGCTCTACACCTTGTTATCTCAGATTCTCCAGCATCAGCAGTTCTTACTATTTCTGACAAAAAGCTAACTGTCAGGTGAATTTTCTCAAACTATTGACGAGGCGAGTGGAAGAATTGGAATGATTTTGAGCTATTTGCCTAGTTATTCAGCAGTGCTGTCTGGCCTAAGCTGTGATGTTGGTGTTTGTGATATGTTTACCCACGTTTGGGACACAGGATCCACATTGAGATTAAAGAGATTTTCCAGGAGGTGGTGTAAGATAGGGCAGCCTTCTCAGAATAAAGCTTTTGGTGGTCATTGATAATTTCGGATGCGGTTCTTGGTTAACATTTGGTGAGAGGTCATTTACAAAGACAATTAGCGAAGGGTGACGTTTGGGATAATTCTCCAGTGATCATAATGTTGGTGGTAATTAGCAGGGGCAGTGATATTTGGGGGTAATGACTGATCGATGGTATATGGAGGGTAATGGAACATACTAACATGAGAGATGTGACAATAAAGCAGTGGGATGTGTGCATGATTATAGTCAGTGATGACATCTCAGGATAATTATCCCAATGATGGCATCTAGCATTAACAAGAAATGCCTTTGGTTTGTTTGAATAGGGTCAAACTCCAATGTTTGTTTGTTTCCTTGATATGCTACTGTATAGAACAGAACTGCGTTTGTCACTAAGTGTATATATACAGAAATTTTTTTTCTTATGAATGAAGTACATTTTTGAAATGAGAAGGATTAACCAGAGGGTAAAGGGCCCTCTTGCGGTACAGTGGTGATGTCCCTACCCCTGGACCAAGAGGCCTATGTTCAACTCTCACCTGCTCCAGAAGTGTGTATTAACATCTCTGACCAGATTGAATGTATCCACGTTTGTTTGTCATCTATATAAATGATTAAGATGAGAATATAGAAGGTGTGGCTAGTAAGTTTGCAGATGACACCAAATTGGTGATATAGTGGACTGTGAACAACGTTGTCTAAGATTACAAAGGGATCTCGAACAATTGGGTCAACGGCTGAGGAGTGGCAGATGGAGTTCCATTTGGATAAATGTGAGGTTTATTTTACCTAAATGGCCAGCACTTATGTAACTAATGGTAGGGACTTGGGTAGTGTTGTAGAACAGAGAGACCTAGGGGTGCAGGTCCATAGTTCTTTGAGGTCTGAGTCATATGTAGACAGAGTGGCTAAGAAGGCATTTAGCATGTTTGCCTTCATTGCTCAGAGCATTGACAATAGGAGTTGGGAAATCATGATGATGATGATACAGGATGTTGGTGAGGCCTGTTCTAGAGTACTATGTCCAGTTCTAGTTGCCCTGTTATAGGAAGATGTTAGCCAGGATAGGACTTTATTCATAGAATCCCTACAGTGTGGAAACAGGCCCTTCGGCCCAAAAAGTCCACACTGACCCTTGGAGCATTCCATCCAGACCCATCCCCCTATAACCCACACAATCTACACATGCCTGAACACTATGGGGAATTTAGCATGGCCAATCTATCTAACCTGCACATCTTTGGACTGTGGGAGGAAACCCACACAGACACGGGGAGAATGTGAAAACTCCCCACAGACAGTCACCCAAGGGTGGAATTGAACCTGGGTCCCTGGTGCTGTGAAGCAACAGTGCTAACCACTGAGCCACCGTGCCACCCCATCCCATTCCTATGTTCCTTGGAATGTAAGAGAATGAGCGGTGACCTTATTGAGGTGTATAAAATCATGAGGGGCATAGATAGGATGAATGCGTATAGTCTTTTTCCCAGGGATGGGGAATTGAAAACTAGAGGGCATAGGTTTAAGGTGAGAGGGGATAGATTTAAGAAGGACTTGATGGGCAACTTCTTCACGCAGAGAAAGTGGTTGAGACAGGTACAATACCAACATTTAAAAAACATTTGGGTAGGTGCGTGGACGGGGAGAGTTTAGAGAGATTTGGGCCAAATGCGGTCAATTGGAAATAGCTGATTGGCACCATGGTCAGCATGTACCAGTTTGGGCCGAAGGGCCAGTTTCCATGCTGTATCACTCTATGACA